GTGTGTGTGTGTGTGTTTTGTTTTTCCTCCTATCCCGGCTCCGGCTGTGCGGAGGCTCTGCCGGGCCATGGGGCCGCGGGGCTTCCCGCCTTTTCTGCTGGTGCTCCTGGGTTGCTGGGCCTCTGTGAGCGCCCAGGGCGAGGTCACCCCGGCGGTGACAACAGAAGACCTCAACTCCACCGAGGCAGCCCCAGCCACTCCCAGACCCTCCCTGTCGCCTAGGACCCTGGAGACCCCCAGGGCTCCGGAGCACTCATCTGGCCCTAGGCCCACCCCGGTCACGGACGGTGGGTAACAAGTGCTAACTCCTTGGGACCACAGAGACCCAACGTGGAGGGGTAGCCCGGGTGAGGACGTAATAATGAGAGCTAACGCTGTGTGCTGACATTGCTGAATGTCCAGTGGTAGAAATCAAAAGTCTAGCTTACTAAGTGTGGTAAGGTAAAGGTCCTTGTGGGTTGATTTGAATTCAAACCAAAACCTCAGGATTCCTCCTGTGTTGAGCTGGAGGTGGGAAGGTATGGGGTGAGGGGTTATGTCCTCTTCTTAGGAATTTACAGTTAGGTATAGTTAATGTGTCTTTTAGAAAGATTTTTTTTTTTTCCAGTACTGGGGCTTGAACTCAGGGCCTTCGCCTTGAGCCACTCCACCGGCCTTTTTGTGATGGATTTTCGAGATAGGGTCTTAGGAATTATTTGCCGGGACTGGCTTTGAACCACCATCCTCCTGATCTCTGCCTCCTGAGTAGCTAGGATTATAGGCATGCACTGCTGGTGCCTGCCAAAAAGTGATCCTCTAATGCAGCACTAGTGACTTCAGGGGTTTCTCTGACCCCTAGAGATTGAGTGCATAATTTTGTGAATATGTATTTTTCTGGGGTGAGGATTCATCCCAGCATCCAGCAAATTCTCAATGGAGTTTGTGACCCAAAACAGAATTAAACAAAAAAAAAATCTTTTGTCTACATTGAGAGTGACATCAATGGGTATGAATTTTTTTTTAATCCCTTTTGAGAGAAAAAGATCATTAGCTGAGTTAGGCTCCATATTAATAAATAAAAAATGTTGTCATTGTCTGATCTCGAACTCTAGGACTTAATTTCAGTTACTGAGCCATTATTTCTCAAAGGCCTCCTTTGTAGTCTGTGTGAAAAATTACAGGGACCAGGGGAGGAGGGATGTCGCTCAGTCATAAAGTCTTTAATTAGTATCTATCAGGCCCTGGGTTCGATCCCCAGCACCCCTCCCATACAGAAAAATACCTACTTAAATATATAAACAAAACTGTTTTATATTTGACTTGTTTGGTGGTACAGCGACTCAAGTGGAAGAGAGTCGCCTAACTAGGCAGGCACTCTTACTGTTTGGGCCACTCTGCTGTACTTCGTTTTAAAGGACCTTTCTTTAGACCTGTGACAGTAATAACTCATTAGCTACTTACTGGGTGGCAGACACTGTGCTGAACACTTCGCCTGTCATGTTTCTTATTTAATCCTGACAACAGCCCTAAGATGGGGACACTGTCACCCCATTTTTCAGGGAGGTGAACTGCCTAATTCAAGTGTTGGAACAGGAAGCTGATTCTGAATGGAGAATGAGATGGAAACCTGCAGGATGGGCTGCAGAAGAGAGTGATAAGCGTTCTTGGCCCCCAGCCTGAGCCAGGCGTGCAGGGGATAAGAGGCCTGGAGAGCAGCTGAGTGCTATTCAGATCCACTGAGTGTTCAACAGATTCTTGTTGGATGATTAAGTGTACGCACATACTGGGTAGAGACTTTTCTTCCCCCTCAAGTAGAGTTATTAAACAATATTGCTTCATCTTTCCTAGTTTTATAGTGACTGACAAGGGTTTTAAGTTTTGCAAACAAATCAAGACTGTTATTTTAAACACCCAGAACAAAAGACCTAGCTGCTCTTTTTATTTTTTACATTAGTGTACACAAGTTGCGTGATTTTGTTAAGCACACACAGGAGGTCTTATTTAGAAGCATGTAACCTTAAGGGGGAACACAGTTGTGTATTTACTGATAAACCTTTCCCTCCCATGCTTTTCTCTAGAGTATATCTTTTAGGGCTACATTTTTATAAACTTCATTTTTATCATGAAATACTTGATACATACAAGTACAAATGTACGACCTATCAGCATTATCTTGAGGTCTTTTTTCTGTTAGTCTTTAAAACAATTTTTTTTGTTCTAGATCTTTTTCTGGCAAAAGAAGCAAAATATTACAGATAAGATTGAAGCTTTGATTTTATTCCTCAGATTTCCTCCCTCTCCACAGTAATCTCTACTCCTAAAGTCAGTGTTTATTCAAGTTTTATTCTTAAAATTTTTGACATTACTCAGGGCCTCACACTTCCTAGGCAGGTGCTCTACTACTTGAACCACACCTCCAACTCCCAGTGTTTATTATTTTCATACTGTTATTTCTTTGGAAGGAGTTTTTCCCTATTTGAGAGAGAATGAATTAGTAGGGACGTTAAATCAGTGATTAACTGAGACAGAATATAGCTGAGAATTCAGCACCCAAAAACCTCTAAGATGTTTGGACTGGGTTGTTTTTTGTCCACATAGTACTCCATCTGTTAAAAATGGTTATTAAAAATAGAGTGGCCGGGTGCCAGTGGCTAACGCCTATAATCCTAGCTACTCAGGAAGCAGAGATCAGGAGGATCGTGGTTCAAAGCCAGCCCGGACAAATAGTTCCAAGAGACCCTATCTTGAAAAACCCTTGGTGGAGTGGCTCAAGGTGAAGGCCCTGAGTTCAAACCCTAGTAGTGAAAAAAAAAAAAAACAAAAAAATAGGTAATGAAAACTCTGGATGATCATATTATTAATAATTAAAAATTGCTCAGTGGGGAGATTCCTGCCTCTCCTCTGTGCTTTTGTCCTTACTGTAAATCCATTGTGTTTTATCCTAAATTGCAAGGATATCTTAAGCCCCCAAACCTATCTGATTCTTGGCCAAGAGCCTGTGAGTAGGAGCTCCGCTTCAAAGCTGAGGTTGTCTATGAGGAGTGGGACAAGACTGAAAACCGTCCGTCTAGGCGGTGTTCACTGGGCACTTCCAGGGGCTTAGGAGTCAGCAGGTGATGTTTCTTCAGGTCAGGCAGGTGAGGTGTGCTGTTCATAAACCTGCCTCAATTTTCACCATCACCTCTAAGTTTTTGAAAACTTCAGGTGTCTAGTTTTCATATTCAGATTATGAAATCAGAGTCCTTGTGTAGCTTGAGCACAGACAGAACTTTCTAAGGGAGTCAAGTGAGCCGCTTTGGGAGAGACTGTGTTCATATGGAGGGCTCAAAATGATGAATTTCTACTTGGCCCACTTCCCCCAAAGCTCAGTAGCCCACAAAATGGACCTTTTGTGTGGGATGGATTCATGACACCTTGCAGTGGTAGTGGCAGCCACTACCTGCCACTTGTGTTCTGACTCCTGCCCTTCTGGTTTCTGCAGTTGCTGCTTTGTGTGTCTGTGACTTGTCCCCAGCACAGTGTGATGTCAACTGCTGTTGTGATCTGGACTGCAGCTCCACGGACTTCAGTGTCTTTTCTGCCTGCTCAGTTCCAGTTGTCACGTAAGTGTATGATGATAGGGTTTTGATAGAATTGGACCAGGATAATAAAATTTGGGGACAGAAAGTAAAAACTCATCCAGTTTGAAAATGCTGAACCTGATATTTCTATTGCCCTACTGTGCAAAGCAATCTGCCAATCAGTAGTGACGCTTTGAGAAGAGAGGGTAGTTCAAGTCTAAAGACTCTAATGAAATCTCTCAGTGTTTGGAGATGGAATTACATGTCAGTTTGAGTTGTGACCAGGTATTGAGTCACATTTTGTATCAGTGAGTTTAGATGAATGAAGAGCGCACTTGAAATTGACAGCTTTTGTTGTGTTGTTTGCGAAAATTAAATAGTCAGAAATGCTTTGTGCATCCTTTTCTGATTGTGAACCCAGAGATTCTCACAGTTCACCCCATATTGAACAACAGGAAATGACATGCCCAGAGGATCACAGGATAAAGGAATAATCTCTTCCTGATTTGTTCTCAGAATTCAGGTCTTTTTAAAAACAAATAGCAGCACCTGGGAGAGGTTCATTTATTCAGGATGGAACCAACTTACCATTCACAGAGAGCTTATTTGCATTTAGCCTTCAAGCACATTTTAGCAGTGGCTATTTGATAGGTCGAATCCTTTATGGAAGTATAATAGGTTTTCCCATGAGAAATGGACCCAATGGGAAATTCAATCTGTGTTAATAGTGTGAAAAAGCCTGGAGAATGGAACTTTTTTTTAACCCTGAACTGGGTCCTTTTTCCTTGTTGGGACCGTGGAACCAATAAGATGGAGCATCAATTGAGCAGTGAATGAGACTTCTTCTTATTATTTTGTCAGTATTGGTGTTTGAACTTGGCCTCACCCTTCCTAGGCAGGTGCTCTTACTGCTTGAACCACTCCACCAGCCTTTTTTTTTTTTTTTTTTTATGGGATTTCTCGAGATAGAGTCTCCTGAACTATTGGCTTCCAACCTCGATCCTCTTGATCTCTGCCTTCTGAGTAGTAGTAATTACAGGTGTGGGACTTTTATTCTTGGCCAAGAATGGGAGAAGTGGGAGATGAAGTCACACATAACTTTCCAACCTGTGGGGGGTCAGGAGGTTTTAGGTAGAGGGTAAAAGAAATGAGGAGGGGGATCAGCAAATGAAGGGGAGGAATAGCCATGTCTTTTCTGGGAGTGGATGGAGATTTTTCAGGAATTCAGGCAGCACCTCTTTTTGCTTCTTTGCAGTCCTGGCCTTGTCAGTTATCAACTACCATGGTGCTTGGTTGGTCATTTAGTATGCAGATGAGTTATAATGAAGTGAGACTCCCACAGCCGTCTTGGATCTAACCATTTGGCTAACCCACCTGAGGAGGGACTTCTGGCCTGCAGGCTTCCCTTCCCCAAAGATAGGACTAAGGCGGGGGAGAAATGCAGCTAGGTCACCTAGGCAGTCACTTCCCCCCTGCCCCTTATTTTCACTCCTCATATTTCTTTTTTGTTTTTCTTGAAGTGCTGGGAATGGAACCCAGGGCTTTGTGCATACTAGGCAAGTGCTCTAACACTGAGCTGCACCTCCAGCCCCATCATTCTTGAGGTGTTCTGAAGGGCAAAGGTCTGATTGTATAACTTCTTAAAGCTGAATTTGGTTGCCACTGAGGGGTCCACTGGAAAAGTGAAAAATTTCCCTAACTAATCTTTTTTTTTTTTTTTTTTTTTGCGGTACTGGGGCTTGTACGTAGGACTTACACTTTAAGCCATTCCACCAACTCTTTTTTGTGATGGGTTTTTTCGAGATAGGGTCTCCATAACTATTTGCCCAGGTTGGCTTTGAATCACGACCCTCCTGATCTCTGCCTCCTGAGTAACCTAGTAGCCTGTAAGGCATGAGCTACAGGCACTCAGCTCCTAGCTAATCTTAAATTTACTGCTTGGTCTTCGGCCTAGTTATTTATATTCCTGAGTAATTATCATTTGTAACTTCATGGCCTCCAGTCTTTTACTTACCATTGAGACCTGAAGTGAAGATGCTGGTCCAAGGAGCAGGAGGACCAGACAGCATTAGCGGTATTATGGGCTTGTACGTAGGACTTACACTTTAAGGCATTCCACCAACTCTTTTTTGTGATGGGTTTTTTCGAGATAGGTCTCAACTATTTGCCCAGGTTGGCTTTGAATCACGCCCTCTATCTCGCCTCTGAGTAACTAGTAGCCTGTAAGGCATGAGCTACAGGCACTCAGCTCCTAGCTAATCTTAATTTACTGCTTGGTCTTCGGCTAGTTATTTATATTCCTGAGTAATTATCATTTGTAACTTCATGGCCTCCAGTCTTTTACTTACCATTGAGACCTGAAGTGAAGATGCTGGTCCAAGGCGCAGGAGGACCAGGACAGCAGTTAGGGGATTTATCAAAAAGGTTAAGTTTGACAGGGCCTCTTTAACCATGTTTCAAATATCTTGGGCAAAGATGGCTGGATATAGATGGAACTATATCGCCATTTATAAATGTCTAGCATCTCCTTTTATGGCTCCACTGGCGTTTATATAAAAACAACAGAGTGTGGGAGATGTCCATCATTGTTTCTAGACAGTATTACCTTAAAAAGAAGCCAGAAGGAGCCAAATGTAATCCCAGCTACTTGGGAGGCATAGAAGGGTTGGAAGGTTGGAGTTGGAGGCCATCCTGGGCATAGGTAGCAGGAAGACCCTGTCTCAAAAACAAAATAAAGCTGGTGTGGTGGCTTACACCTGTAATCCCAGCTACTTAGAAGGTGGAGATCAGGAGGACTGTGATTTGGGACTGGCCTGGGGATAAACGTTGAGACCCCATATCCACCAATAAAAAGCTTAGTGTGGTGGCATATGCCTGTCATCCCAGCTATGTGGGAAGCACAAATAGGATCACAGTTCAGGCCCACCCTGGCATAAAAGTGGGACCCAATCTCAAAAATAACCAAAGCAAAACAGGCTGGAGGCACAATTCAAGTGGTAGAGTGTCTGCCTGACAAACTCAAGGCCCTCAGTTCAACCCCAGTACTGCCACAAAAGAAAAATGAAAGGAAGGAAGGAAGGAAGGAAAGAAAAGGAAAAGGAAAATAATGGAGGGGCTAGGGTGTAGCTCAAGTGCAGAGAGCTTGCCTAGCCTGCACAAGGCTGTGAGTTTGAGCCCCAGCTCCATGAAAAGAGAAAAAAGAAGAAGGAAAGCCTGAGGTTTACTCCTAGAGTAAGAAGGATCATTGTTATAAATCATAGGACACGAATCCAAATGAAGATATCTGTGCTCCTGTGTGACCATTGGGCCATCAAACACCCACAGACATTTTGGTACAACTTCTATTACAGGACCCAGGTCCTAGGATCTGGCCTGTACTTTGTAGGCCTAAAGATGTTTGCCATGAGAGACTTAATAATCCAAATGTATGGGGAGACAGCAGAAAGTCAGTGTACAATGAAAACAATGTTTTCACTCTCAGTAGTGAGAGTGTTTACATTGGCATTATCAACCTGTGGGTGAGCCTATACAGGCTGGCCTCAGATGGCAGTCCTGCAAGGAGCTAGGATTATGAGTCACCAGCATCCAATAAGCACAGGCTTTTCTGATCGCATATAAAGACCCTTCCTTTATGTCCTCCTGGCCCTAGTCACTCATGTAGGGTGACACAAGTAACATGTAGGGTGCCATACTGGGGTTTGAACTCAGGCCTCATGCTTGCTAGAGAGGCATGCTGCCACCTGAGCCACTCCGCCAGCCCAAGTGAAACCATCTTGATTTTGTTGAGTCTTGAGTTGCTGCAATGCCTGGTTATAGTTCCAGTTCCATTTAAATGGATCTTTTCTTTTTTTTTTCTTTTTTTGGTGGTACTAGGGTTTGAACTCAGGCTTACTAGGCAGGCACTCTACCACTTGAGCCACTGTTTCACTTTTTTGTGTTGGGTGTTTTCGAGGTAGGGTCTCTCAAACTGTCTCCCCAGGCTGGCTTCAAACTTAGATCCTTCTGATCTCTGTAGCCTAAGTAATTAGGATTACAGGTGTGAGCCACCGGTGCCTGGCTTTAAAAGGAACTTTGAATGGTTTTTCCCTTTGGATTGTCTGCGTATGACTTTGACTTTTCCACCACCACATAGCACATTTGTCTTTGGTTGTCCTTCTCTGCTGGGTGTTCAAGACTGAGTAGGTGGTTTCTATGTTGGTCAAAAATCAACCTTGTTCCTTCTAACTGTTAAGGTCAGCCTAGACTCCTCAGGGTTCACTTTTAGGGCCTTAGGAGGACTCTCTTGGCTCTTTCAGTCTTTTCGCTCTACTAGTTGTGCCATCTGTGGGAATATCTTGTTGCTGGGAGACTGAGCGCTCCTCAGCTGTGTGTATGGACTCCCTATAATTCAGCTCTAGCGTCTTTCTTAGAGGATGTTTGCAAAACCATGACATGTCTCTCCTTTTTGCAGCATGCCCAGTGGTTAGAGTCTAACCCCTGAGGTCTCCACAGCCTCTACTGGAGGATGGGTGACTTACCAGAGTTGTAGGGCCAGCTTCAAAAGGACCTTGTTGCTGGGCGTCAGTGCCTCATACCTGTAATCCTAGCTACTCAGGAAGCAGAGATCAGGAGGATCGTGGTTTGAAGCCACCCCAGGCAAATAGTTCTCGAGACCCTATCTCAAAAATACCTGACACAAAAAAAGGGCTGGTGGAGTGGCTTAAGGTGTAGGCTCTGAGTTCAAGTCCTGGTACCACACACCCAAAAAAGGACCCTGTCAACCTCTGTTGCCCAGCTGACCTTGCAGGGCAAGTTTTGCATGATATTTGAGCAGGGAACTGGGACACCAAGGCTTTTCAGGAAGCAGTATTTATTAGTGCACCAGCAGCGGCTCAGTGGATTCCCATTCAAAGTCTGAGCTCGAGAACAAAGGGGCTTTTCATTATGTACCTTTGCAAGCAGGTTACAGAAGCAAGAAGCAAGGTTTAACCCACATATGGTTGTATAGATCTCTATTGGCTACTTCACACTCTGTGCTATGTGACCTTCCTCATGTTCACATT